AAATTCCATCCTACGATGGCTATTGACTACAACCCACAGGAATGGGCACACCTGTGAGCGATTTCTTAATTATATCAGACTAAGTGGGAAGACACACTTCTCATCTGGAGCCGCCTCTAATCCGGCCCACACCTTCTGCTGACAGCCTATATAAATGACACAGAAAAAGGAAGCTCCCTTTTCTTCCTGGCTGCATGTTCCTATTCTTGCTAGCACAGCCATTCCCTCACTGACATGAAAGCCTACTTCTTTGGGATTCTGGGGTATACTGAAGACCAGCTGAGACATCCAGTTTCGTGGACTCAACAACTCTTGGATCCTTGAACCTTCCATTCAGAAGTAGCCATTGCTGGATTAGTGGGACCACAGCCTATAATCCATTATAAATCCCTTTTCTACATATAGGGACTCATTCTCTAAATTCTGTTAATCTAGAGAAACCTGACTAATACACATTACTATGTCAGTGAGACCTCTCATAGATACTGACTGGATGGATCTGAAATTCTCAAAATGACAGGTGCTAAAAAGCAATTAAGTTTTGAAAAACAGTAAGGTTAAAGGAATCATGCTCCTCAATTTTGAGTCTTGTACTATAAGGCTATGCTAATCAAGGTGGTAAAGGGATGGATCAACACTTAGTTCAGAGGAATAGGGACCAAACAAGACTCACAGAAATATAGCACTGATTTTTGAGGCAGGGTCTCATTCTGTAGCTCAGGCAAGTCTACTTACTATGTGTAACAGCCTGGCTTCAAACTTGTGGGGATCCTCCCGCTCCGTCCACCTAAGTACTGGGGTTACAGGGATAGACAATCATGCCCTGCTACAACTGATTTTTGATAAAAGTGCAAAGATGATTCAGTAGGCAGTGTTTTCAACAAATGATTCTGAAACCAGTGGGTAGGTATCCATCTGAAAACATAATGAATTTCCAGCTAAGCTTTCCAGCTTATATGAACTATGCTAAAAATAGCTTAACAGTTAAATGTAAGACATTCAATCAGGGACTGTCCCAGATCCACTCTAGGATAGTCTTCCTGTTTTTCTATGCCTTCTCTTGTTGTTTTTCAATAATTCATGACTCTTCTTTGAGAAGTCTATATCCATGCTTGGGAACATCTTTCCTTCTGAGCACTTCTCTTCACTTTTGTGCATAGTCTTTATTAAAGCACCTTTATTTATTAAAACCTCAACTTTGCTTTTTAAAAATTCATTATATTAAGACAAAAACAAAGAAAAAATTCTTATGACCAGAAGTCCCCAAAGGTGTTCTTATGGGGACACAAGACACCAAGAGCATAGTCTACTGACAGCAGGATAAATTAAACTTAGTCAAAAGGAAACACTTAAGTGCTTCCAAAGACACTACCAGAAAATAAAAATACTAGGTGTGGGGGGGCATGTCTGCAATCCCTGCTCTGCAGTCCTAATGTAGGAGGTTTTTAGGTTCGCAGTCAGTCTGTATTACACATAAGACTGTCCCTAAAAATCAAATAAATGAAATCCACAGGAAATTACTTAAAAATCATACAGCTGATAACCTGTACCCAGATTATTTACTATTTAACAATAAGATAACACTATTTTCAAATGGGTGAAAGACTTGAATAAACATTTCTTTTGGAGCTTGCCCTATAGATCAGGCAGGCCTCAAACTCAGAGATTTACCTGCCCGTCTCCCGTGTGCTGAGATTAACGGTGTGCCCCACCACTGCTCAACAAGTAACATTTCTTTATCTTTAAGGATGACACACAAATGCTCAATAAACAGAATGCTAGCTGTAACTTGCTTTCACAGAATTGTAAACCATAAAGAGGCTATGAGATGATTCAGTGGTTAAAAGAACTTGTCACCATGATGACCAAAGTTTAATCCCTGAGACATACATGGTGAAAACAGAAATACACATACTCTGTGTAACATGCATGCCCTAATCCCTCACTCACCCACCCCCACACGCAGTGGATAAATGTACAACATAAATATCCTCACATACACATATACATAGCCACAAAGATACCAGTTACTATCACTAGAATGACTAGATTCAAACAGCCAGCTAAGAACAAGTGTGGGCAACAATGTGGAGAAACGGACACCCTAAACACCACAGGTAAATGTGCAGCTGCTTTAGAAAACAGCTTGGAAGTTCTTCAAATGATTAAATTAAAGCACATGTGGCAGACTGAAAGAAAATGCCCCCAAAGGGACTGGCACTACCTGGAGGTGTGGCCTTGTTAGAATAGGTGTCATCTTAGTGGAGCAAGTATGTCACTGTGGAGGTGAGCATTGAAGTCTCATATATGTTTAAGCCACACTCAGTGTCTCAGATCACTTCCTGTTGCCTATGGGTCAGGATGGAGTTCCTTCTCCAGCAGCATGTCTGCCTGCATGATGCCATGTCCCATCACAATGAAAACAGACAGAACCTCTGAACTGTAAACCACCCAATTAAATGTTTATAAGAGTTGCCATGGTAGTGGTGTCTCTTCACAGCAACAGAAACCCTAGCACGTGAGGCAGCACATAACTATTAATGCTGCTATGAAAAAACACATGACCAAAAGCAAGCTGGAGAGGAAAGGTTTGTTGACTTACATAACCTGAATTGCAGTCCACTTAGGGAAGACACATCAGGAACTCAACTCCAGCAGGAACCTAGAGGCAAGAGCTGATGCAGAGGCCACAGGCAGTGTTGCTTACTGGCTTGCTCCTTATGGCTTGCCTAACCTGCTTTCTTATGACCCCAGGGGTGGCACCACCCACAATGGACTGGGCCCTCCTCCATAAATCACTGACTAAGAAAAAACCATAAAGGCTAACCTATAGCCAGGTCTTAAGAAGCCTTTTTCTCAATTAAGTTTCCCTCTTCTAAAATAACTTTAGCTTGTCAAGTTGAAATAAAAGTGGGCAGAACAGTAAGAAAACACCTTACACACATAAAAACCAGGTACACAAACATTTATAGCAGCATTATTCAGCAGAGTCCAAACAGGTAAATACCTAAACATACATTTTAAAAATGAACTAACAGTATGATATGGTCATATAAGGGAACAGCATTCAGACATAAAACAAGCATGAGTGAACTTTCTAAAGACCACAAATTCTAAGGTGCCATGTGTATGAAATGTCTTGAACAAAGAGTATATCAAGAGCTGGCTGGGGCAGCAAGACATGTCAACTGAAGAATACAAGGTTTCTATTTGGGATGATGAAAATGCTCAAAAATCCACTAAGCTGATGGCAGTGTACTCTGGGCATGCTCTTAGTAAGAGTGAACCTAGTATGTAAATTATCTCAGCAAACACTTAAAAACTTGCATATGGTTTTGCTTACATTATTTATTCTAAAAGAAACAAAACCATAGAGAAGAGCTATAAGAAGAGACAGTGGTTTCTAGAGCTGAAACCTGATACTGTGACTACAAAGAAAATTTTAGTACTACTCAGATGACTGCACTATTTTAGGGTAAATAGGAAGGTATTTTCAAATCTACACATGAGCTAAAACTCACCAAATTATATAATGAAAAATGATATTTTACCTGTAAATTTATTCAAAGTATTATTTAAAATTATTATGTCAAAGAGAACCAATTTAAAAAGTTTCTTCCTCCCAAGAATTCGAAGGTATTAAGGAATGTAAGCAAAAGGCAAGCACCATAGAGTAGGCCAACTGCTAGAGTTCAGTACTGGAGTTCAGGCACTGAAGACAGCCCTGCTCAGCACTCTCACACGAAGGCATGTGTGTAGAGATAACTTCAGGCAGGTTTTCAAGTACATCAAGAGTGATGCGACCTGAGCTACGGAAATAAATTCTAAATATGCCAAGAGAGAACTAAAATAAATCCCATGGGATATTTTAAACTCGTGGTTTCTAATATGCATGCATAGGGTTAACATACGCATGGTAAACAAACATTAACAGTGTTCACACACCAGCACGCACATCTTGTTTAAAAACATTTATCTACTAAAGAGAACTGGATTCTTTGATTTTTGGACTGGGGCAAGGAGTGCCTAAGTCTGGTGAATAAGAAATTGCTCGCATAATGATCAAAATATGTCAAAGGACATAGAAGCCATCAAAACTGCTTTACACTAGCCAAATTATACAATTGTTAAACATCAAAGTAATGAGAATACTTTTTACCCATTACTTAAAATAGTAAATCAATTCAAAGCCTGGTTAGAACATAAAAGGTACTTTAAAACTACTCTCCCACAAAACACCTAAAAATAAGAAAACCAGCAGATACTACCTTACTCGATGACCTAAGTATCGCCATCAGCTATGGGGTGAAACTCTTAATTCATAACCATAGACAGCATTCAGGGATATCCCAGACAATGAACCTCATCCTGAAGAATCAACAGACAAGTTCTCATAACTTCCAAAAGTATAGTAGCTAAGCCAGGCACAGATGCACAGCCATAATCACAGCAGCTGGGGGACTGGAGCCACAACATCATCATGGGTCAGAGGCCAGGTTACCCAGCAAGATTCCATCACTGAAAAATGCCAAAGCAGTAAAAGCCAAAGAAAAATGGGAACTCGTGCCAGACTGAAATGAACTCCACACCTCTGATGGAGCAGCATGTCCTACCTGCAGGGCTTCCTTCCTTCCTTCCTTTGTTGTTTTGTGTTTTTGAGACAGGGTTTCTCTGGATAGCTTTGGAGTCTGTCCTGGAACCCGCTTGTTCTGTAGACCAGGCTGGCCTTGAACTCACAGAAATCCACCTGCCTCTGCCTCCTGAGTGCTGGGATTAAAGGTGTGCACCACAGGCTTGCATGGCTTTCTTACTTAAAGGACATTGTTGGGATCAGTTCAACATAAATAGCATAAAGTCTGAAGACTAAACAGCAGTACCATGTCCATGTTGGTTTCCTAGTTTTAATAATTGTATTGTTGAGAAAACAGACATCTTAGAAGCAAAACAAAACAAACCATCATCACCACCAACCCCACCATCAAAACAGTAAAAGATAGTGGTGACAGCATCATGTCAGTTTATTAGAAAATAGTACAAGATTCTTAAATTGTTAATACTTCACTTATAAGCTTTCTACACATTTCATATTATTTTTTAAAGAATTAAAAGACACAAACAGGATAAAAGCAATTTCTTCTAGATAATTCTCTTTCTCTCTGAGTCATTAAACTTAAATGAAGCCACTGGCTTACACTGAGGGGCCTAAATTTGCTTCCGGACACTAATGATTTAAACTCTTTCATTGATAGGGTTTCACCATTTTTCAACTTCTTGACATAATCACTTTTTCCTTTCTTAAAGTTTGTCCAGCACTGTACTTTCCTCGTATGGACAAAGGGATGCACAATACTTACCCAGACGTTTAGTGAACATTATTCCTGCATCACACACACACACACACACAAACAAAAAAAAATCCCTGAAGGCACTTTTTTCATTTCATATGATTTGTACTCCAATGCTTTTGTAGTAAAAAAACATAATTAAATATGAAATTAGGAAAATGTAGCATATAAAACTTAATGCAGAGCAATAAAAGTTACCATCCATCCACAGGACAGCTGCTACATCTTCTATGTAAATCATATCTGAATGTAATCTTTTAGAACCATGCTGAAATACATTTGCAATATGTTAACTGCAGACATCCATATTTTTTCATTCTTCATATCATTTGCTGCCTTAAGCTGCCAGCACCTGCTGGGATCCACAAGATGGAACAAAAGTAAAGAATAGCAGTCATTTCTCAAGGTTTGAGAAGTCTGGTCCACCCTTTGTGTAGTTCCCTGAGATTTCTGCTCCACTGAAGTCAAAACCAGGATTCTGAAAGACATAAAATAATAAAACTTATAAGAACTTGTTGGATTCACAATTAAGAACAGAAAGAAAAGATAGCAAACTTTACTGTAAGCACCAAAGGGAAAATGAAAAGTAAGAGGCCCCTTTCAACTGTCAGAGCTGTCAATATTTACACGAGTGCTGTGTATGCTGCAGGGCTAGTGACTGGACAGTGAAGCATGTATTTCAGTTCCACCGTCTGCATAAAAGGGTTAAAAGTTTTTCTGTGGGCAGGGGCATTACTGATTGAACACAGGACCTCATTCAAGCTAGGCAAGGACTATACACTGAACTACACCAATTTTAAATTTAATGTTTTTCTTCTGAAACATGGTGTAGCTATACTGTCCAGGCTGGCCTTGAACTTGTAGTGCTCTTGACTCATCCTCCTAAGCAGCTGGAATTAAAGGTGTCACCAAGCACAGCTATAGCCAGCATTTTTTTCTATTTGTTTACTTGTTTATTATTTATTTATTACATTCCAATTCCAGTTCCATCTCCCTCCTCTCCTTCCACCTTCCCCCATTCCACCTCCCATCCACTCCTCAGAGAGGGTAAGGCCTCCCCTAGGAAGTCAACTAAGGCTGTCCTAACACCTTGTTGAGGCAGGACCAAGCACCTCCAACCCCCATGCCGTGGCTAAGCAAGGTCTCTCTCCATATAGAAGGGGCTCCAGTAAGCCAGTTTACGCATTATAGTTAGATGTCGGTCCTACTGCCAGGGGCCTTATACTGTCCAAGCCACACCACTGTCACCTATATTCAGGGGGCCTAGTCCATCCCATGCAGGTCCTCAGTTGTCAGTCCAGAGTCAGTGATCTCTCACCAGCTCGGGTCAGCTGATTTTGTGCGTTTCCCCATCATGGTCTTGACTCCTTTTTTCATATGATCGCTCCTCCCTCACTTCGACTGTACTCCAGGAGCTCAACCCAATGGTTAGTTGTGGATCTTTGCATCTGCTTCCAGCTGTTTCTAGAAGAGGGTTCTAGCTTTGCTGGGACTGTGAACTGCAGGTTGGGTATCTTTTGCTTTATGTTTGGTATCCACTTATAAATGAAAACATACCATATCTGTATCTTTCTGGTACTGGATTACCTCACTCAGGATGGTTTTGTCTAGTCCTGTCCTTTTGAAGCTTACTATAAGCCATACAGCCATATACTAATAGCTATATGTATATTACCATGTAGATACACATTAAATATTATGAAGCACTGCTTCAAGCTTTAGACTTTTCTGGGGGCAGTTTCATTTGTTTAATGGACATTTATTGAGTTCCTACTACTTGGGAAATGTCATTAAAAACATGTGGATTTCAAATGTAAAGACCTCTGTTGTAGAGGAGGTTATACTGTAGCAGGAAAACAAATAACAAACCGTGAATACTGAACACAGAGCTCAGCCTGTATAGAGTCAGGCAATAATCACTTGAGACTATGCATAAACTTCTGTCATAAATACTTCATTATAAGAAACTGCTATACATGACATACTAATAAATGAACAAAGGTATGTCTCTGTAAAACTTTACCTGCATGCCTGGGGCTGAATTTCCCCAGGCTGCATTTTTGCCAACCTCTGGCTTAGTGTGTTAAAGCTTGCAAGTGCTATAAAAAAAAGGTAAACAGGAAGCATGGCAGGAGAAAGAATAAAGAAAGAAAATTACAGACTTGAATGGGATAGTTAAAATGTGATGAGCTTAAAGCTACAGGAGAAGCCGAGCGTTGGTGGCGCACGCCTTTAATCCCAGCACTCGGGAGGCAGAGGCAGGTGGATCTCTGTGAGTTCGAGGCCAGCCTGGTCTACAAGAGCTAGTTCCAGGACAGCCTCCAAAGCCACAGAGAAACCCTGTCTCGAAAAACCAAAAAAAAAAAAAAAAAGCTACAGGAGAATAAACAGTCCAGCCAGAATCAGTAGAGAGCCAGGCATGCCAGTAAACACTTTTAATTCCAATACCTAAGAGGCAGATCTCTGTTCAAGGCCAGCCTGAACAGTTCGAGCCCAGCCAGACCTAGAGAGTGAGACACTGTCTCAAAAGAACAAAACAAAATTACACGACAGAAACAAAAAAAGAAAGGAAGGGTTGGTAAGAAGTAACTGACAGATTATCCCATAAAGAAAAGGAAGAACTTGAGAGTATTCTGAGAAGAAAAATGCATTGATCTAACTTGCACTATCAAAAGACATCTTTAATGACTACTCTTGAGATAACAGCTTGGGGAAGAGTCAAGGAGGCTAGTTAGGAATTTTGTGAAGTAATCCAAACCAAGTACTAGCAGGTTTGGCAGGGTAAAGCAGGAAAAGTCTGGATGTTAAGTGGAAGACAATGCTAATAAGACTTCCTAAGAGTTGTTAATAACCTGTCTAATGGGCAGGAGGGCAGGTGTGTTTACACGTGTGTATCTGTGTACAACTAAAGTTGACATCACATGTTTTCTTCAATTGCTCTCCAAATTCTAGGTAGTTTAGACAGCCATCTTGCTCCAGGGATCCTTTGCCTCTGTCTCAGGAGTGCTGGATCAAAGGCGGCCACCACACCGGCCCAGCTTTTGCATGGATTCTGGGGATCATCCAGCAGGCCTCTGGTCCTCATGCTTGCAGCTCAAGTGCCATACCCACTGTGCAATCTCCAAGCCACTCCCTCCCTTAATCTTGACCAACATTTGGGAGTGAAATTAGTTTGTTCACTTTGGACATGTATAGTCTGACAGCTAAATGGAGATGTTCAATAAGTAAATGGAAATGCAGGTTGAAAGTTTACAAGGAAAAGTCTAGGTTACAGAAATATACTTGGAAATAAGCATGATATAGATGGAAATTATCCACTGAACTTTTAAAAGTCCAATGGTTAAGCAATTCCTCTCCCAAATATCTATCTTGGAACATTCAGAGATGTATATACAGGTTTATTTAAAATAGAGAAAAACAAGGATATTAAAACAATATCATAGGGAAAGAACTAGATAAATAGTTGTGTACATGCAAATGAGAGAAATCAAGTAGAAGGGATGAGTTTTAGCCATGTATACGATTAGGAGAAGAGGCTGGAGATACACTATTAAAGGAAAAAGCACCATGAAAATAAGCAAGGTATGAACCTCCACCTTTGTTAAACATTTATCAGACAAAAAGGCTAGTAAATAAGAATGAGGCAGAGGTTATGAGGTGGCGGAATAACAATGAAGAGATCTCTCACCCTTTTATGCTGTGTACACCACAGTAGTCCAGTTTTTTAGGTTTATTATCCATGAATTACTGATGTGTGTTCAGTAAGTTGAAGTCTCACAGTAACGGATATATTTGTGAAATTTAAAACCCACATACTAGGCTAATTTCTTGCCATTCACTTTAAAAGTCACCCAGTAGGTTTTTTTGTTTTGTTTTGTTTTTGGCTTTTCAAGACAGGGTTTCTCTGTATTGTTTTGGAAGCTGTCCTGGAACTCACTCTATAGACCAGGCTGGCCTCGAACTCACAGAGATCCGCCTACCTTTGCCTCCTGAGTGCTGGGATTAAAGGCATGTGCCACCAACACCCAGCCCCCGAAGGTTTTTTTACTACTTTGTATACTACGGTATGAGTGAATACATGTGATTTTTGGAACATGTTAACTAAATAATCATGCTTGTATTTGACTTACTTCTTTCTGGAATCTCTCTAATGTAAGTTTTCTCTGCATTTGGTCTTGCACCCAGGGATCAGCTGCATATTCAGATTCTAGAAGGGAAGTCCAACAGTTTGCAGCGTCTCTCTTGGTCTTTGTCAGGACAATGCGGACCATTTTTCTATCTTCTAAGATAAAAATAAGAAACAAGTTACAGAGAAATCACAGGAAGAGTCAATCCTTGTATTTTCTAAAGAATGTTAGGTAATTCTGATGTACAATTGTTCCTAAGACTTTTCTCCATCCTTCACAGCTATAAGCACAAGAAGATTTAAAACAAAGAAGAAATGATATCACAATCTAATTTTTAAAAGTTTATGAATCATAATAGATTATTCTTACCCAAAGTCCATGTTCCTTCATCAGCAATTGTAGAATCAAACAACTTGCCCTGGAAAACAAACACAAGGTACTAAAGATACAACATTAAATTTTATACCTTCAGGGCCGGGCGTTGGTGGCGCACGCCTTTAATCCCAGCACTCGGGAGGCAGAGGCAGGCGGAACTCTGTGAGTTCGAGGCCAGCCTGGTCTACTAGAGCTAGTTCCAGGACAGCCTCCAAAGCCACAGAGAAACCCTGTCTCAGAAAAAAAAATGTTTTTATACCTTCTCCATAATTAAGATTTGGCTCATTTCAAGCAAAGCCGCATCTTAGACTAGCTCAGCCTAACTGTGGGTGCTCAACTTTGAACTTCCTCTTATGAGTGAAAGGGACTCCAGGTTACAAAATTTGACATCTTTAGCAGGCATAAGTACACAAGACCCTCTAAACAAAACAGGTGATGACATACTACTACTGACAGAATAAATGTGAAATTAATGTATAAAATGCTTTACCCATCAAAATGAACAAGACAGGGACTTCTGCTAAAACTAGAAATGATCTATTTTATTTTTGTTTTTCTTGAGGTAGGGTCTCTCTCTAGTCAGGGGTTCTCAACCTGTGGATTGAGACTCCTCTAGGTGTCCCATTTCAGATATTTATATTTTATGGTTTGTAACAGTAGCAAAAAACAACAACAAAACCCTCCATATTTAATGAAGTAGTAACAAAAACAATTTTAGGGTTGGGGATCACCCCAACATGAGGACCTGTATTAAAGGGTCACAGCATTTGGGAAGTTTAAGAAACACTCACTATTCTGTGTAGTCCTGGAGTTCACTACGTAAACCTGGCTGGCCTGAAAGTCGAAGAAATCCACATGCCTCTGGCTCTTAAATGCTGGGATTAAAGGCGTATGCCACAATACCTGCCTTTAAAATGCTATCTTTTAAATAAAAAATGATTAAAGCTGGCACTAGGAAAAGCCAATTTCTTAAGGATATCTAATCACATATTGTAGGTCTGATGTCAAATTAGCTGTGATTAAGTTTTCATCTCCTCCTGCCCAAGTTTAGAAAACATGGTACCCACTACACTGCATGGCCATCCAACAGGCTAGGCATCTAATCCAGGGGTAAAATATAATCTCAGATTGATATGTGAAAATCCACCCCCCCCTAGCCGGGCATTGGTGGTGCACGCCTTTAATACCAGCACTCCGGAGGCAGAGTCAGGCGGATCTCAATGAGTTTGAGGCCAGCCTGGTCTATAAGAGCTAGTTCCAGCCTCCAAAACAATACGGATAAATCCTGTCTCGGAAAACCAAAAAGAAAAGAAAATCCACCCCCCCCCAACCCTATGAAACAATCCTGGCTATCCTGGAAATTGCTTTGTAGACCAGACTGGCCTCGAACTCACAGAAATGTGGCTGCCTTTGCCTCTTGAGCGCTGGGGGTTAAGGGCGTGTGCTGCCACTGGCCGGCTTCTGAAAATTCTTAAGAAAAAAAGTAGATTGAGCCAGCCTCAAAAATATATTGGTGGAATCAACTAAAAGAGGCATTGTTTCCTTCACACACACGTCTTCATTATCTAAATGACCATCAGCATGCATGAAACTTGCAATTTAGAAAGCCAATCTGACATCATCTTCATCCATCACCCTACCCTTGCTTTTGCCCACACATCATGAAGAATTCAGAAACCTTTTGCCGAAAGTCTCTGGGACTCAGATCAGTGCCCAGAAGATACATTTTGTACTTTTGATCTAGTTAAGTCTTCCGTCAGCAGAGGAAACCCCAGGGGAATTAAAGTAGCACATTATCTGTCTTCGAAAAAGACGAAATCTCTTTGCCATCCACGCTAGGTCTGCTCTGGGAGCGGGGGCAGCGAGGAGACCCTCCTCGCCAGACCAGTTGACTGGCTTTCTTTCTGCCAGCCAGGAACTGACCTTCCCACCCAGCAGTCATCGCTCTCAACCCGTGAACTGTTAGAACTCGGGGTGCGGGGGGGGGGCAGGAGGAGGAACTCGGGACAAGCCCTGACTTGCTACCTTGAGGATCTCGCGGCCACCCACGGCCAGAGCCACATGCCGGCTCTGCAGGTCGCACTGGATGTCCTGCGCGCGCGTGCCCGGGGGCACCTGAACTTCAATGAACACCTCCTCCAGGGTCTGGTACCACTGGCCCCACGGCGTCCCGCACGGAACCACCCCACTACGCTCCTCAAACGGGGCGGACATTCTCCAGATGCCACGCACGGACAACGCTCAGCGAGAGAGAGAGAGAGAGGAGAGCACGGCACAGGCGGGATGCGACTCCAGAGTTTGCCCTCGGCGCCTTGGGGTCACTGCACATGCGCAGAAGTCCGAGGTGGCGTGCCTGAGCGTGCAAACCTTTCCCTTTCAGGGCCCATCTAGGACACTCGCGAGAGCTGGTGTGAAGGAACCGAAGCCCGGAGATGGGGACCTCCTAAGAACGGTGAGGCGGGAAACAAAGGGGACCGGCGCTCGCGACCTTACAGCCTGTGTGACGCCAAAATACGGACTCTACTGCGGGCCGCCTGGGAAATGCGCCTGCGCGAACTGAGAGTCAACTGGAGTAAATCCAGCCGGGACTGGGTAGAGCCGTAGCTGCGGCCCACAGGGACAGTCTCTCATTGGCTAGCAGCTTAAACTTACGGACCTCCCTATTGGACAGGCGTACAAATCTAGTGCGCATGCTCCTCGGCCCATTCAGGATTCGTCAGCTAGGTTTAGGTTTTTCTGATTGGTTGACCCGGGGAAGGTGGGGTAAATTTGAATTCAGGCGAGCAGACAGTTGCGGAGTTCGGTGGCCGTCGGGGATCCAGGTGTCACACGCCATGTCTTTTCCTAAGGCGCCCCTGAAAAGATTCAATGACCCTTCGGGTGCGTACGGGTGCGGGAGCAGGGTGGGGAGGGGACGCGCCCTCGACCCCTCCTTCCTCAGTCGGCGGGACGCCAGGTTAGGGTTGGGATGGTATTTGTTTTGGATTTTTTTTGTTCAAAATACAAACAGTAAACACTTCTTGGCAAGTGCTGTATAGGATGGTAGGAATGTGGCTTCGATTAAAATCGAGTCCGTTTCCCACACAGCAAGCCTTCAAGCAGGAAAGTCTACCAATATGCCGTCATCGCCGTGGTGAAATCAGTAGCTGGTTGAAGGGATATGGAAACGGCAGGCATTTTGTTCATTAAAAGGAAAAAAAATGTTACTTTCGTTAGAAAGTTTCTTGTCTTGACATTGCATTTGGGTGTAAAAACACGGGGACTGAGAAATCAGCTAATAACAGCTGCTCCAGAATTTTTTTTCCCCATTTTCTAAACACTGAAGTACTTACTATTCAGTGTTTTGGTGACTGAACACACTGGAGCTTGGTGTGTCGATGGCACCAGAAATTGACTGTAGATGGTGGTAGTGTCCAAAAAGTTAGGAGAAAGGAATTTCTAATGTTTTCAACATTAAGAAATAGATGTTTCCAGGCCCAGTGGCCTGAACTACATAGAAAGATTGTCAGTGACCCACCCCCCCAACAAATAGACAGTTTTAAGGAGAAGAAATGAAAAACAAGACTGAAATGTTCTCAGTGTTATAAAACTAAATTGACAGAACTGGGATGTGAACCCAGGCCTCCATTGATGTATCCTGTGTGCCCAACCACTGTGGTGTATACCCACAATAACTAGGGAGCCTTAGGTATGATTTGATCAGACCTAGCTGTATAACTGTTCTAGGGTCATCAACCCCACTATTCACAAGGTCAAGTGAGCAATCAGATTAATCCAGCTCAAGGGACACACCATTTCCAAGGTATTCAAAAACAATTCAGGTTCTGCAGAGCAGCACTAATTTTTTTGTTTTGAGATAGGGTTTTGTGTAGTTCAGGATGGCCTTAAACTCCTGCTGCCATCTCCCAAGTACTGAAACCTACAGACCTGTATCACCCCACATGACTCAGCTGCTGTTTGGTTTTAAGGAGTAGTTGTTAAGTCTTACAGTTCCAAGAATAACATTTATGAGATATTTAATATTTGTGAATCAGTGGCAGTTTCTTCTAACCCAGTAATCTTCAAAACCAGGCTTCTTTTTTTTCCACCTCAAGGAAACTTAAAGCATCCTGGGGAAAAGGAGGAAATGTAATATTTTTATTTACTGTGCTCTCTTTGTACTAAATATCTGGCACAGAGTTTTCTGTAGCGTGTTACACAGAGCTGGGTTTGAGTCCTCATCCCACACCCCAAACAAATTTTCCATACGTCTCAACACAACCATAAGCTAAATACTAGAGCAGTAGACATGATGCATCTGCTCCCCAATGTGGAGATGGAGTAAATAAATCCTTATGAAAGCCTGGGAGGTTCTTTGGTAGGAAAGATAGAAGATGCTATGAGGCTTTTCTCGTCTGATTTTGGGACTGTGCAAAAGCTGGAAAAATATCCAGATTGAGATCTGGAAGGTAAATGAGAATTGGCTGGGAAAGAAATTGGAAGTGGCCTATGAATTCTAAATGGCTAACTAGAATATACAGAAGTTGAGAAGCTTGAAGACTTTAATGTAATAAAAACCCCATACAGAAACACATTTCCTTAGGTGATTTGTTTTAAGTTAGGCGATACCAACATGAGTAAGAAATACATGAAAGAAAAATAATAATCAAACCAGTAATTGGAAGCCACTTTGTGTTTACAAATGAATTGTACCCATAACAGCAGAGAAGGTTAACTTCATAGAAATCATCTGTTGCCTCTGACTTTTCTGTTTTGTTTTGCTTTTCGAGACAGGGTTTCAGCTGTGTAACAGCTCTGGATGTCTTGGAACTCACTTTGTAGACAGGCTGGCCTTGAAGTCACAGAGATTTGCATGCCTCTGCCTCCTAAGTGTTGGGATCAAAGGTGTGGACCATCAACACCCAGCATCTCTGACTTTTCTAGTAATGGTCTCATAGTCCTGATTTCTCAGAACACACACATGTAGAATTTTAAATAGAATGGTAACAGATGAGAGTTCTAAAAAAAAATTGAGACACGGGAATCAGCGGACTGCCTCATAAGAAAAGCTGATGGAGTAATAGACACTTAGTATGAAGCAGAGAAAGTCCAAGATAATGAGATAGTTATCTCTAAATACTTGGAGTTCATAATGGATAAAAGGGGATTATTTGAAATTCTTGAGAGTTAATGAAAAACATGGATAGTAATTACAAGCAAGCACATTTCTAAGAGTAAATATCTTCTGCTATGGAAAGCCTGCTTGGAGCTGAACAGATTTGTATGTTAAGAGATTCAGATACATGTGGGACCAAAATAAATGTGGATATCAAAGAGATGAAATGGATATATTTAAAAGTCTCTTCCAACACAGTTGTCTACATTAGCTGCAGCTGTGTGATAACTTGGCAGATTTTCAGTGTTCAAGGCATAAGAACGGCCTAAACTCTGTTTCTATAAAGCCTCCAGTTTCTTGTATTTATAATATGATAAAATTATGAAGTTTAAAATTGTATTTCCCCCATGTAGTTCTTTCCTTGTGGCTAACATGAAAAGGGAGAAAGTGTTTCTCTCACGCAGCTTGGCTTTACTGCACTGATGGGGATCTTATGAATACTACTAGTTTCCACTCCAAATACAAAAAATAGGACTATTCTTTGCTCTCTGCTTCTAAGAGATGCTTGTGTGGAAAACCTCAATTCATACTGCTTTGGATTTGGCAAGCAGCCAGGTCTACCACCTGGCCCATACTTTCAAAGAGGACAAACTGCTAGCTAAAGGAAGGTACACTGAAGCTAGGCATCATGCTACATGTGGTCTAAGCACCCTGGAAGCTAAAGTAAGAGGCTCATGGATGCAGGATGAGCCTAGAGTATTTAGTGAGTTCTAGGTGAGCCTGAGTTCCATAGTGGAACACTGAGAACAGAGTTCAAGACTAGGGAAGGAAGACTATTAAGCAAAAGCATCATAGTATATTGGTATATCTTGGGAAATATAAATTTTCTGGAACAATTTATATTAATTTGTCGACAATGACTGAAAACAAACTCAGCCAGTCAGTATTTGCATGTGTGGGGAGCAGAGTGGGAGGGGTTTGTCTGGCTCCCAGGTTACAGTCTGTCCTTAAGGCAAACCCAGGCAGGAAGTGAAGGGCATTCTGCTTACCGGCTCACTTTCCATGGCGTGCTTTGTTACACAGCCCAGGACCACTTGCCCAGGGGCGGGATACCCACAGCAACTTCTGATGAAATTAGTTCCTCCACGGAGGGTCCCTCTTCTGTGGGTTTAGCTTAAAAGCATAGCTACTTACAGGTATTGCTAATATGCTAATAGTAGTAACAAAATAATGCCATTAAGTGATGATACGTTGCTATTTTGTGTTTTCTGTAGGTTGTGCGCCGTCTCCAGGTGCTTATGATGTTAAAACTTCAGAAGTGTCTAAAGGACCGGTGTCTTTTCAGAAATCACAAAGATTTAGAAACCAAAAAGGTAATGGGTCCTTAAACAAACAATGGTTGTACAGCCTATAGCCTGATATAAGCAATAGTGTTGAAATGTTAAGATGCTTTTGCACTCCTAGAGTTTCAAGGCCAGAAGTAAAATTAAATATCATTATTTGGCATTTTTATAAAAGGATCGAGTACACAATGATTTTTTTCATAGTATACTATATGTAACAAGGGAAATTAAGATATTTGCAGATAGGTAGTTTCCCTTTTGATAATTGCGTTTACTTTCTGTCAGAATATTGGATCTGCCAAGCAGAGTTGGAGAGTTAGCTCAGTGGTTAAAAGCACATACTGATCTTGCAGAGGACCTCAGTTGGCTTACAAGCATTCAAGTACATATGCTTCCACACAGACATGGACATACTTATTTTTTAAAAAAATGATTTTTTAAAATAAAGAATAGCAGGAAAGGTTGGGGTCTATAACAAATAATTGTGCAAGTAATTATTTGAAATTTACAACCCAAAGGAAAAGCTTATCTTGCTTCAAGTACTATCTGCAATGAAAGGTTTAAATTTTTTATTTTTGTGGTTATAACATGCAAACATCAACCATAGTCATATTAATTTATTTTTTCCAGAATCTCAACAAAATGTTAATGTTGACAAAGATACTACCTTGCTTGCTTCATCTAAAAAATCAAAGACATTGGTGTCAAAGGTGAGAAACATTTATAAGACTATTGATGCTGGGCGATGGAGGTGCACACCTTTAATCCCAGCACTCCGGAGGCAGAGGCAGGCGGATCTCTGTGAGTTCGAGGCCGGGCTGGACCGACAACCTCCAAAACAATACAGAGAAATCCTGTCTCGTAAAAACCAAAAAAAAAAAAAAAAAAGACTATTGATACATTCCTTATGTCATTGACTACATACCTACAACGTACTGCATTTTATTTAAATGGCTAAGCATGTAAATCAAATTTATGTAAGTTAGGGCTTACATAGAGTTAGCTCAATGAGAACATGTACTGTTCTTCAGAGGACCAGAGTTCAGGTCCCATCACTGGAATTGGAGTTTCAGGGGATCTGATAACTTCTCAGGCCTCCTAGGGCACTCACAGTCACAGGGCATACACACATCGCCATATACATAAATAAGAGTAAATCTTTTTCTTTCTTTTTAAATCTATCAATAATGTTAAGTATCATCAGAACTCTAGCAGGCTTCACATTTTACCTGATGTATTAGTAAGTCACTTTGAATGGTCTCTTAGCTCATATTTACAAAGGCATTTCTGTATAGAGATAAATCTGGTAATTACCTTTAGTAAGTAAGCCTTTACTAAGGTGTCATGCTTTGATCTGTTACCATCATCTGAGTTGCTTTATTTTATTTATTTGTTGTTTGCTTGTTTATTGTTTGCTTGTCTGCCTTTTTGTGGAAAGGATAAGTATTGGAAAAGAGAAAAATAAAATTTCAATGACCAAAATGAGGTTGTTACTCAAATTGTTGAACAGTATATTACAGTGTTTAAAATACACATGAAGATGAGTGTGTTAGTACGTTACGTTGTTTCAATCCCAGCATGTGAAAGTCAGATTGTGGTTCAAGGCCAAGGTGTATTAATTACATAGGGAGTTGTTGACTCAAAAGACTAAGAATTAGGGGATAGAGAAATGGCTCAGTGGCTGCTCTTTCAGGGGACCTTGGTTTAATTCCTCGTACCCACTTGGCTCACAACAGTTTATATAACTCCAGTTTCAGAGGATTCAGGACCCCTTTCTGGCCTCTGCAGGCACCAGCCATGTACATGGTCTGAGCATATATATGCAGGCAAAATACCCACACACATGAATTCTTTATTAATTTGGGAAAGGACCAAAAATAAATAATCAGATTGTGCTGTGATATTTGTGGCATGTAAGTTCATAATTTTTTTAACTTTTAAACAGAAGGAACCTCAGAAGAATGATAAAGATTTGAAGAGATTAGAAAAAGAGGTAAGCCATAGTTGGAGCTTACTGGGGAATAAATGCTATATAATGGAAAGAGAATGGCTTAGATTTGCAGACCAAGGTTCTGTAGCAATTTGAGTAGTTCTGCAGTGAGATAAACATAGCATGTGTGTAGTTTTGTCGCTAGTCTCTCATTTAATATAATACTGTCTTCGTTGAGGATCCATGGCAATGAGGATATTATGATTGATACAACTGAGTTCATGGCATTGCTGATGAGTGAGTGGCACTGCCAAGATTAGGGCTGATTGTTTGCATCAGATTTTGGGTTGGCAAGTTTTTACCCCCACTTTTATTTTTTTAATTTTTTTAAATTTTTTATTTTTTTGCATGGGTGTGTGGTATACATACTTGTATGTATGTTTACCTGTACTAAGATGTGGAAACCAGCCGGGCATTGGTGGCGCACGCCTTTAATCCCAGCACTTGGGAGGCAGAGACAGGCGGATCTCTGTGAGTTTGAGGCCAGCCTGGTCTACAGAGTGAGTTCCAGGACAGCCTCCAAAGCCACAAAGAAACCTTGTCTCGAAAAACCAAAAAAAAAAAAAAAAAAAAAAGATGTGGAAACCAGTGTCGTCTTAGGTTGCTCTTAACTTTCAGTATTGAGGCAGAGTTTCACAGAACCGGAGCTTGCCATTTCAGCTAGTCTGCTCAGCTAGCTAGCTCCAGATATCTGTTTCTACCTGAAATACTGGACCACAACACCTTACTGGCATCTGCGTGAATCCTGGCCTCCAAACTCAATCCTCATGCTTGAGTGGTAAGCCCTTTACCTGAGTCATTTCCCTAGCCCTCCCCAAACATTTAAATTTGTTGTTTCTTTGTTTCTGTTTACTATTGACAAATACTAGCTTCTTTGTTTTGCTGTTTTTTTGTTTAATGAGTATAGACAGTAAAACATGACTCACTGTTTCCTGTTAAATTCTACTTAGGACTCTGCTTTCCCAAAATAAAAAACATATAGCACTTCAAACTACAATTTAAATTTGTGTAATTAGCACCAGAGAAAACAAGAATTCTTACAACTTTTAATTGACTAAATGCTTGCTATCTTTTTTGTTGTTGTTTTGTTTTTTGTTGTTTGGTTTGATTTTTTGAAACAGACTTTGGAGCCTGTCCTGGAACTTGCTTTGTAGACCAGGCTGGCCTTGAACTCACAGAGATCCACCTGCCTCTGCCTCCTAAGTCCTGGGATTAAAGGCATATGCCACCACTGCCCAGCAATAGCTAGCTATTTTAGACTAAAAGTTTGTGAAAGTTAAAAATCATTGTGTTTCATTGGTGGATTTGTTGTGTGTGTATGTGTGTTTGAGATAGGATCTCAGTATGTTACTCTTACTGGCCTGGAACTCACTATGTAGACCAGCTGGGCCTGAAAAATCACAGAAATCTACCTGCTTCTGCTTCTCAAATACTAATCATTCTGTATTTATGATGCATATCTTTAAGTTGTATCTTAAGGTAAATATAATTATTCAAATAGCTAGTAAAATAAGAATGTCTGAACACCGTATCAAATTGTAAGTTAACTAGAAGGTTTGAGGCTTCTGGTACCAGTAGGATCAATCATATATTTATCCCCTCGTTTTCTTCCAGATTCGTGTTCTTTTGCAGGAGCGAGGTGCTCAGGACAAACGGATCCAAGATATGGAATCTGAGTTGGAGAAGACAGAAGCAAAGCTAAATGTAGCAGTCAGAGAGAAAACATCTCTTTCTGCAAGTAATGCTTCATTGGAAAAAAAGCTTATTGAGCTAACCAGAGCCAACGAGCTACTAAAATCTAAGGTAGTTGAACCCCGTGACAACATCAAAATTGAATGATGTTTACTTACCTTCACATTCAAGTTTACAAGTTGCATGTGGAGTTGAGGCTGTTTATTCACTTCTGCCATTGGTATAGGCATTCTTGCTTTCACTGGTCCTAATCACACAAACTAGAGTGGTGGTTTGACATGTTAAGTAGTGGTCTATTTCAAGAAGGCAAGTAAGGTTTTGAATAGAATGTAGTAGACATCTGTAAAGCATTATTCCTGGTGGGACTATTAACTGCTTTACATATTAGCCTACTTTCTGTAGGATTGTTTTTAGCTATTTTTTTTATTATAGGGCATTAGTGAAATGAATGTACTCAACACATAAATTGTGTGTATAAGTAAATAATGTAGTAATAGATCCTAAGGAATGTAGTATGGTTCCAAAAACCACTGACAGAAATAGAGGGAAAAGGTAAGTCACTGTTCAGTTGAATTAATCATTTATTCAGGGCCTGTGATAGGCTCTGCTCTTTATGTAGGGAGTAAAAAGTGTATTAAAGCCTAAGGGAGATCCTGACCTGGAAGGCCTGGATTAGGCCCCACATCTTATATACTTCAGGTGTCCTAGGCAGCTGAGACAATTTAGCAAACATAGTTCCACAAGTTTTTCTAGGGTTTGTCTTAAACCCTGCAAGTGACCTTTCTAGTGTGTAACAGTAAGTGACCACTTAGACCAGCGGTTCTCAACCTGTGGGTTGCAACTTCCTTGGCAAATCTCTATTTCCAAAAATATTTACATTATGATTTATAACAGTAGCAAAATTACAGTTATGTAGTAGCAATGAAAATAATTTTTTAACTTTATTTTATGTGCATTAGTGTGAAGGTGTTGGATCCCCAGGAACTAGACTTATACACCATTGTGAACTGCCTTGTGGGTGCTGAGAATCAAACCTGGGTGTAAATGGAGTCCTTAATTGGTCTAGATAATAAAGGGCCAGAGTCAGATATAGAAGGAAATGCTGAGAGATCGGAGAGAAGGAGCAAGCCACAGCACACCTTGCCTCCTAAGCATCTCCACCAAGAAGAGAAGAGAGTGATTTCCTGTTTGTCCCTGCTTATACTCTGATTCTGCCCAGCTATATCACTTCCTACCTGGCCAATCAGCCAATCAGTGTTTTATTCATTAACCAATAAGAGAAACTTATTTACAGAATGACATCTCCCATCACCTGGGTCCTCTGGAAGAGTAGCCAGTGCTCTTAAACACTGAGCCATCTCTCCAGCCCCAAGTAAATTTGTGGTTGGAGGTTACCACAACATGGGGAACTATATTAAAGAGTCGTAGCATTAGGAAGGTTGAGAACCATCAACTTTGACTGTTTCAAAAATAAACCTGGAAATCAAGAGGAAAACAGTACTGGCATACAATAAATACTTGTGGTCAAGGCTGTTTTCTTTGCCAAAGTACATTGCACACAACTAATAGCTCCATTAGCTCCATTGACGGGCATATTAATCAGTATTACTTATAAGTAATTCTTTTGTTTTTTGCCTTTATTTTTTTATTTTATTATTTTTTTTTTTGAGACAAGGTCTTATGAAGCCCAGGCTGACCTTGGCCTCTTGATCATTTTGCCTCTGTCAAGTGCTAAGATTAGAGGCATGTGATACCATATCCAGACTTAAGTAATTATGTGTATGGCTTAGCAGAAAATATTTCTGAATTTTTATGTTGTAGTTTTCTGAAGATGGTCATCAAAAGAGCATGAGAACTCTAAGCCTGGAGTTGATGAAACTTAGAAACAAAAGAGAAGCGAAGATGAGGGTGAGTGCTGCCTTTGGTGTGTCTACTGTCTCTTGACTCTGGGGACCTAGGAACTTCTCATTTCCTAAAGTAGTTATCTCTGTTGTGCAGAGTGTGATGGCTAAACATGAAGGCATGGAGCTGAAGCTGCAGGCCACTCAGAGGGACCTCGTAGAGTCACAGGGGAAAATAGTCCAACTGGAGGGCAAACTGTAAGTAGTAAAAAGGGAAAAGATTGTTAAGTGTGATGATTCCTTAGCTTTTTTTCCTTTCCTTAACGAACGGTTTTATCAAGCTATTCATATTAATGAGGTTCTGTAATGTTTTAATGTAAATACACATTGCTTAATGAGGAAATCAAATATAAGAATCTCACTTCCTTACAGTGAAAAATCCTAGCTTTTTGAGTTATACCCAACTCAATCTGTAGTCATCTTACTGTAGCACACCAACTTCTACCTCCTGTCTGTATTAGAACTCACTGACCAAACGTTCCTCTTGACCAACCATTTCCATGCTGGCCTTCCCCATTTTTTCCAATTTCAGTAACTGCTCTACCCTCAGCTTCTGTTCAATTCTTAGCTCCACTGTCTTGTGAAATGTGTGGTATTTGTCTCTGAGCCTCACTTGTTTCACTTGACATAATGAGCTCTAGTTCCATCCATGATGATGCTACAAGTGAAAGGATTTCCCTTTCTCTATATGCTTAAGTGCTTTTCTGCAGTTTGTCTTTGGATCCACTCATCTCTTGAATAGGTGTCTGTGACTTCTCTGTCATGGCTGTGTGAGTACTGCTGAGGCTAGCACAGGGATGTAGCCATTACTTGCACATGGTGATTTTCTTTGCATAAATAGGATTGCTGATCTTATGCTAGTTTGTTTTCTTTAATGTTTTCTGTAGTAATTATGCCACCTACTTTCCTGCCACCAGCGTACAGGGTTCCTTTTCCTCAGTGTCCTTATCAGCCTTATTAACTTCAGAATTTATTTATTTATTTATTTAGTTTTTTGAGACAGGGTTTCTCTGTGGCTTTGGAGGATATCCTAGAACTAGCTCTTGTAGATCAGGCTGGTCTGGAACTCACAGAGATCCACCTGCCTCTGCCTCCCATTGCTGGGACTAAAGGCATGTACCACCACTGCCCTGCTCAGAATTTTTTTTTAAGTTTATTTATGTATCTTTATGTGTGTGAGTACTCTACCTATATGTATGTATTTGTACTATATGCATGCCTGGTGTATGGATCAAGAGAGGACATTGGATCCCCGGGAACTGTATTTACAGATGGTGGTTGTGATCCAACATGTGGATGCTGAGAATTGAACCTAGGTCTTCTTTAAGAGCAACAAGAGTTCTTTTTCAATTTTTATTTATTATGTATAGTGTTCTGTCTGCCTCCCAGGTCCTGGGATTAAAGGTGTGTGACACCACCGCCCTGCCTATTTCAGCCTTTCTAATGGTGTCATATGCTAATTTGTCAATTGTCTTTGTTGTTCCTGTTTGAAACGCAGTCCTGTGTGTCATGTAGCCCAAGAAGTCTTTAGAGTTCAGATCCTCCTGCCTCAGCCTCCCAGACTGGTAGAATTTACACGCCTGTACCATATGACCTGGCAATCACATAAGTAATCAAATACTGTACAACTTGGGATGGAAGCCTCTTAGCACACAGAATGTGATTTGAGTTGATATGAAAACTAGCTTCTAATTTATACTGCAGTTCTCATCATAGCTCTTTCATCAGAGCATGTTTGGAAAGCTTTTTCATGTAAATAAAAATCTAGTCACCTGTGTTAATCTAAGTGTTAACATGAAAAATCACTTGAAATTATAGGTAAGAATTAAACTTCTGGAGTTACCTTACCTAACATAATAGTATTTAGTATCTCGTACATAGTCTGCATGGTTATAAAGTAAATGAACCATATGTATTTACTTCTTTTTTTTTTTTCAGTGTTTCCATGGAGAAAGAACAGATTGATGAAAAATCTGAAACAGAAAAACTCTTAGAATACATCGAAGAAATTAGGTAATATAAATACCTCATAGTAGTTTTAAACCTAACTTCCAGGCTGGAGAGGTTGCTCAGTGGTTGCTCAGCAGCACTGGCCGCTCTTCCAGAAGTCCCAGGTTCAATTCCCAGCACTCACATGGTGGCTCACAACCATGTGTAACTCCCACCCCCAGGGGAATATTATCTCATGTCGGGATTGCACTCCATGAGGTACACAAATATTTAGGCAGATAAACACTTACACACATTGAATAAATAAGTAATTGAAATGAAAAGTTAATAAATAAAATGGACCTTACAGACTGTGGATATAACTTTGTTGGTAAAACACTTGCCTGGCATTTGGTAAGCCCTGGATTCGGCATCAATATTGTTTTTGCTCAAACAAAACAAGAGTACTTTATTTTGTTGAACGTGTTTTTCCAGTACCTAAAGAGATATTCTCTTCAAAATACTTTTTAATGCAGTTGTGCATCTGAACAAGTAGAAAAATATAAAGTTGATATTGCCCAGTTAGAAGAAGATTTGAAAGAGAAGGATCGTGAGATTTCAAGCCTTCAGCAGTCTCTTGAGGAAACCCTCGAATTTTCCAAGCAAGTAGAAGACCTGACTGTTAAATGTCAGCTGCTTGAAAAGGAAAGAGGTACTATGCTGGTTATGTTATTTTGCTTCAATAAGGCTTAGGTACTGTCTGTAAAAAATATACGGCTCTATGGCAACATTTTCCATTATGTGAATACCAAAAAGTCCATGTGCTATTTGGGATGTTTTTTAATGCTATAATGTTTGTTTTTATTTCAACACATTATATTCGTTGATTGAAAATAAAAAGAGTTATATATTAGCTGAGGACTTCTACCCTGGGTAGTGTTAGTGCAAACGTCTACCCTGGGTTAGTGTTAGTTTGTAATTATTGCAAACTGAAAACTAACCTATTTGTATAGCATATATAATAAGGTAATGAATGTACTCTTCCCCCGTCTTTGGAAACGCTTGCTCTGTATAGTGTGCTAAAGCAGTGGGGTGAAATACTAGGTGAATAGAGCCCCTTAACATTAGTATTTAGTTCTGGAATGTCTCGTGCTTTCCTTTTATAGATGATCTTGTCAACAAGGACAGAGAAAGGGCTGAAAGTCTCAGTGCCGAGATACAGATTGTAACAGAGAAGCTTGTTCTAGAAAAACAAGAATATGAAAAGCTGCAACAAAAAGAAATGCAAATTGAGTCACTTCTACAACAAGAGAAGGTAGTTAACTACATTTATTTTTGTTTTTTAACTACTTTATATCATAATTTTTCATTTATGTCAGAAAATCTCTGTGTGTATATCTTGAACATTTAGTCACAGATGATACTGGTATACATTTGTATCAAGTAGACAAGAGAGATATTTATAGTTATCTTAAAAAGAATGTCTAACAATAGGAAAAAGCAAAATAATTTGAAAATGCAAGTTACATAAGGAGCATTTTACATAATAGTAAGGGGGGGAAGCCCAGTAAAAAATACAAACAAACAAAGCACATGGTCATAGGATAGAAGTAGATAATTCTAATACAATATCCCGATTACTTGTAAACATGGACAGAGGATCTCTCTGTAGTAACCAGTGGAATAGAGCACTTCATTAACAGAGTATCTAGAAACTAAACCATTTCACTGTGCTACTTGGGTGAAAGCTGAATCAATAGGAATGGGCATGCACTAATGTGATAAATATTTTGGGGCAATAGACAATGAAAGGGGCTCAAGGGGTTAATATACATTGACCTAGAAAAAATTCAACTATTTTTTATGATTTTAAAATAGTTTTCTTTTTGGGTTTTTGGGTTTTTTGTTTTGTTTTGGTTGGTTGGTTGGTTGGTTGGTTGGTTGGTTGGTTGGTTGGTTTTGGTCTTTCAAGACAAGGTTTCTCTGTGTAGCTTTGTAAACCAGACTGGCCACTGCTTCCCCAGTGCTGGGATTAAAGGCATGTGCCACTACCGCTTGGCGATTTAAAATATAAATACATAGAATATATCGCATAGCTTCCCCAAATGTATGCATGTATGAAAATATATGGGCAATATGTACTCTAAACCAAAAGTTATCTTTGGAAGGGAAATACAGATTGAAATAGGGACTAGTGAAAATTAATATTCACTTCACTTAATCTAGATTTTTTTTTCTTGGTAATAATATTTTATAGAACTTCGAAATGTGTATCCTATAACATAAATATTTTATGTGACAGTGAGATCATAATATACTTTTTTATCATAGCTAAACAGAGTAGATTGAAGTATATGTAGGCTAATTGTAAAGCCAGATATAAAGAAAGTAGTGTGATAATTTAACACTAAAAAAAAAAAATCTAGAAATTACAGCCGGGGCGTTGGTGGCACATGCCTTTAATCCCAGCACTCAGGAGGTAGAGGCAGGTGGATCTCTGTGAAGTCAAGTCCAGCCTGGTCTACAAGAGTTAGTTCCAGGACAGCCTCCAAAGCCTGTCTCGAAAAAAAAAACAAAAACAAAGCAAAACAAAAATCTAGATATTACATTTTCTTTTTTCATTTTCCCCCACCCCACTCCATCCCCCTCTACCTGCATGTATGCCTGCAGGCCAGAAGAGGGCACCAGAATCATTACAAATGGTTGTGAGCCGTCATGTGGTTGCTGGGCTTTGAACTCAGGACCTCTGGAAGAGCAGCCAGTGCTCTTAACCACTGAGCTATCTCTCTAGTCCGAAATTACATTTTCTACATTGTTAAATTATATAACATAGAGAAAGTAAGCATGGTATGTTTTTTTTTTGTTTTGTTTTTACGAGACAGGGTTTCTCAGTATTGTTTTGGAGGCTGTCAGTCCAGCCTGGCCTCGAACCATGGTATATATTTTTGTGTTTCCTTTAAACTTCCTAATTTAGTTGTCATACTTCATTATCTGCATTGCATCTGTTGTCACCAAGAAGAGTCGTGAGGCCACGTCTAACTATCTTGTGCTTTCCTGTCTGAATGCAGGAATTGTCTGCTAGTCTTCAGCAGCAGCTCTCCTCTTTTCAAGAGGAAATGACCTCAGAGAAGAATGTCTTTAGAGAAGAGCTAAAGCTTGCCCTGGAGGAGTTGGATGCGGTACAGCAGAAGGAGGAACAGAGTGAAAAGCTGGTTAAACAGCTAGAAGAAGAGACGAAGTCAACCGCTGAACAACTGAAGCGGCTAGACGAACTGCTGAGAGAGTTCGTATTATTGGGGTCTTGTTTATGTGGGACTTGAAATACAAACTGTTTTCTTAGGATTCTCGTGTCACCTATGTATATGCATGGAGGTTAGAATTATCTTTCAAGGTAAGGAAGAGATACAGAGGAACACATCATAAGAGTATGCATATGCACATACACTACACGCAGGCATGGCAGTCAACCCAGGACCCAAGAGATTATGGCAAAGGATGATAAGTTTAAGGTTGGCCTAAATTGCAACTGATTTTGGAGGACAGGAACCTGAAAAAAATTGAGTAGATAACCTATTTCCTGAAGGGTGGAGAGACAGTCATTCACTCTAGCTTAGAGTTCTGGTTTCACATGAGCTTTATTTGGGAGATTAATTAGTGAGCTGTGCAATTCTGAGAAAAGTAGTTTTGATGCCTTCATATTCTGCTTCGTTAGGTGCTGTGTGAGATGAGGTCTCAGGCCCTTCTTAGACTAGACAGTTTAGTTGAGGCTTATGTTAAAAAACAAGAACTGAAAGTCACCCTTCTAAGGGACATGGGAAATATTATTACAAACCACTTAGTAGCATTCGGTTGTTTTTGCTGTGGCCCTCCTTCCTCACTGTGCAGAGTGTTATCTGCTCTTTGTCTTATTTGAGGCTTCTACTTAGAGTTGTGCAGTGCTCATTTTTATTTCACCATGTTCTTTTAGAGACCCTTCACAAGCTCATATTCTCATCCAGACATGTTATAGCATTTAATAATGTACAGTATTTGAAAAAGAGACTTGAAATTTGTAGTATACATTTAGAAAAATGTCTTAAAACCTATTTTGTTACTATATAAAACTGTTCAGGATCTTGTTAGTGTTAGGCATGTGCAGTCCTTTCACTTAATAGGCTGAGACAGGCAGATCCAGAATTCATGGGCAGCTTCTAAATACAACAAGATCTTATCTCAGACAAAATTGAGTGATAACAGCATAGTGGGTTAATCGTATAATCAAAAATGCACATAGTACCATAATTACTTTTCAAAAGAGCTTTTAATGTGAAGTGTCTTTAACTTTGTATAGTATTTATTATCTCAGTACAGGGAATTAAACTCAATAAATCTAGGAGCTTTTATCTAGCATTGCATTCAGTCTTTAGACCTGACTATTCTGGAACATCAGTTTTACAGGTTGTTGTATGGGTTTTTGTTCTTTTCCCTAAATTACCTACATAATGCAGGAGACATGAAAAGAAATCCAGTAGAACGTATATATAGAAGAAGCCAGTAAATAAGTTAGTAAAACCATCATGCTATTAGATTGTCATAAGTGGGTACTTTTAATTATACTGCAGCTGTTATGAAAGATTGTATGAGATATATGGTACACAGTTTCTAGTCTTTTGTAATTTTTCCTTGTTTTTAGGAAAGAAGCTGAGTTGGAGAAATGTAATACTGCTCATATCCATGCCACCTTGACTTTACAGGAGAGGTATAATGATACAATGCAAGACCTTAGAGACATTACTGCTCAATTGGAAAGGTATTTTCTTTGTAGTGTTCACCATGGAATATATGATTGGGGAGAACTGTTTACCTACAGAAATCTGTGAACAAAGCAATCCATAGAGGATGACTGGCATTGCCATAAATTCTGCACTGACTGGCTGTTAATGGGCACTTAGTGTCACCTAGTAATCTTTTTATACTTATGCCGATGCTCCCTTTCTTACCTATCTTACTTTCCTCATAGCATCATTTAAAAAATAAAATCTAAAGTTTTTATATCTTTATCTAACATAGGAACACTGACATTTATCTTCCTGGACTATTCAATGATTTCTTAGTCTTATGTTTCTTTGTTGTTTTTTTTCCCTCTTCCTTCAATTCTCTTGTTATGATAGCACTGATTAGCCTGGTACTACCTTTATATCCCAGACTGGTCTCAAACGCATGGCAGTCCTACCTCATCCTTTGAGTGCTGATGTTGCAGGAATGCTCCACTGTGTGTGGAAGCTAATATTTTAGTCTTTTTAACCTTCAGTAGTCGGGCGGTGGTGCTGCATGCCTTTAATTCCAGCACTCAGAAGGCAGAGGCAAGCCGATTGCTGTGAATTCAAGACCAGCCTGGTCTACAAGAGATAGTTCCAGGACAGTCTCCAAAGCCACAGAGAAACCCTGTCTTGAAAAACCAAAAACCAAAAAACCTTCAGTGACCATGTAGTATCATTTCTTCTTATTCTTCTTCTTCTTCTCCTCCTTCTCCTTGTATTCCTTCTTTTTTTCTTCTTTTCCTCCTTCTCCTTGTATTCCTTCTTTTTTTCTTCTTTTCCTTTTTGGTTTTTCAAGACAGCGTTTCTTTGTATTGTTTTGGAAGCTGTCCTGAAACTCGCTCTGTAGACCAGGCTGGCCTCGAACTCACAGAGATCCGCTTGCCTCTGCTTCCCGAGTGCTGGGATTAAAGACGTGCACCACCAATGCCCAGCAGTATGATTTCTTTCTTGTCTCTTAATTTTTCTTGGTATGGTTGGTGACTCACTCCTGCACTCCTTTGCTTGGAAATTCTAAAGCAAAATTACAGTAAATTTGAGTCCAGACAGAACTACAAAGTGATTTCTAGTCCAACAGAGTGTCACCCTATCTCAGAAAACAAAAGAGAAAATTAGAAATGTTTTCAGTCAATATGATTTTATTTTGAAGTTCATCCCAGCACCTTCTTTAGCACAAAGTTCATCTTCAGATAACAGTATTTTCCATATTGTTATTTCATATGTTCTCATTTCCCTCGACTTCTACCCCATCTACTTCCTGTTTTCCTTTTGGGGAAGTATGGTGTGGGGTGGAAGGGATATAGAGTCTCTTTTTGTAACTGTGACTATCTTACAATTCTCTATGTAGACCAGTTTGGCCTTCAACTCTGACTCTGCTTCCCAAGTACTGGGACTAAAGGGATGTGCTACCACCACCCCCCACCCTATTTTCTTTTCTTTTTTGTTTTTTTTTTTTCTTTTTCTTTAAGGTCAAGGGCACTAGAGAGATGGCTCAGTGGTTAAGGGCACTTAGTGCTCTTCCAAAGGACCCATGTTCAATTTCCATTACTCAGATGGTGTCTCAGCCATCTTTAACTCTAGTTCCAGGATATCAGATGTCATATTCTGGATCTTTGAACGCTACATATATGTGACTCACAGACATACATGCAGGCAAGAGACTCCTAAACAAAAAATGTTATGTAAACTCATTTGTATTCATACCAGAGTACTGAATTCTTACCTATGTGAGTGCATGAAAATATTACAGAGTTTTTTCTTCTGCCAAGAAGCATATAAAATCTAAACTACGTATACAGTAGTAATAAAGAAGTGTTAACTTTTTCTTTCTAATAAGCTATAAAACATCAACACTTAAAGAAATAGAAGATCTTAAGCTGGAAAACCTGACTCTACAAGAAAAAGTAACCATGGCTGAAAAAAGTGTAGAAGATGTTCAACAGCAGATACTGACAGCTGAGAGCACAAATCAAGAGTATGCAAGGTGTGTATCACAAACATATCAGTTAAAGAAAAAAAATTACAATTTTTTGTTTGTTTTGTTTTGAAACAGGGTCTCACTGTGTAGTCTTGGCTGTTACCTGCTGTGTAGAGCAGTTCAGCCTCCAATGGAGAATCTGCCTGACTCTGCCTCCCAAGTGATGCAATTAAAGGCAAATCCTGCCACATCCAGTTAGAATTACAATTATTAAGAATTTCTTCTATTGCTTTGTATTTTTTTTTTCCTGAAAAGAAAGAGATTAAAAATTGGAATGTCTGTCAGATGTTTAGTGGATTCTTCTTTCTCAAACCCAAGGATGCTTCTAGATCTGCAGAACAGGTCAACATTGAAAGAAGCAGAAATTAAAGAAATCACATCTTCATCTCTTAAGAAAATAACTGACTTGCAAAATCAACTCAAACAACAGGATGAGGACTTTAAGAAGCAACTTGAAGAGGAAGAAGCGAGGTAATTCAGGCTTAGACCTTGGGTGCCATGTAAATACATTGGGTTTTTTTCTAATAAATTGAAAAAAAAGATATATATATGTATGTATATATTATTTTTCCCATACAGAAAAGCAGAGAAAGAAGATACAGTGGCAGAGTTGACTTTGGAAAGTAATAAATGGCATCTCCTTTATGAAGAACTATATAACAAGACTAAGCCTTTTCAGGTTTGTTGCTTCTAATAAACTTTTTGTGGGCTGGAGAGGTGGCTCAGTGATTAAGAGTACTACCTGCTCTTCCAGAGAACCCAGGCTCAATCCCTAGCACCCACGTGGTGCCTCCCAACTGGCTGTGACTCCAGTTCCAGGGGATCCCGCACCTCCTTCAGGCTGCATGGGCATGGTAGTGCACAGACATACATGCAGGCAAAATACCATACACATAAGTAAATAAACTTACTGGATCTATTTTAAGAATATTTCTTTCCTGTTAATTTTGACTATGAATTGGTGCTTCTGCAGTATCTCTTCACTATGTAGACATAGTTACAATTTAACCACATATTAACAGTTTTCAGATTTTATCTGGTACCTAGCACTTGGGAGGCAGGGGCCAGCCTGGTCTATAGACTGAGTTCCAGAACAGCCAAGAGACAAACAGAAATTCTGTTTTGAAATTCAAAATAAAGTTGTGTTTTGTTTTGTTTTGTTTTAAATCTGGGGATGAGCTCAGTGGTAGAGTGTGTTTGACCCATACAGGGCCGGGGGTTCAATTCCCAGCACTACATAGAAACAATAAAATTTAAAGTAAAGGGTTAAAAATTACAATTTATCATTTCTCCAGTTCTATTGAAATACAGCTGACAAATTTAGTAGACATAAAATTTTAACATAGTTACAATATAAGAAGTGCTTTCTAATAAACAACTTGAAACTAGGGTCCTTAAGGCTCTCCTGATAGGAACATTGGTCATTTACCTGTTAATTTATGATGTGTGTTTTTACATGATCCATCTCAGTGTTTCTCAAGTCACTGCACTGATCTTTGCACTATATTTTGTCCTTTGGTCTTCAGATGGAGTCTTGCTCTATAACCTGTGCTGGCCATGTACTTGTACCAAGTAGCCTGACCTAGAGTCTGAAGTAGTTCTCCTTCTATTTCCCTAGTTCTAGCCTTATGAATATCAGCCTTTATGCCTGACTATCTTTGTGTTCTTGAAACCCTAGGCTCTCCTGGAACTTTGTGTCTAGCTGGAGATGGCCTTGAATTTCTGATCCTTCTTACCACCATACATGTTAATACTCTGATCTTTTTATAAGGAAAAGGTGGCAGGCAGGGTGTCACATGCCTTTAATCCCAGCACCGAGGAGGCAAAAGCAGGCAGATAAAGTTCAAGGCCAGCCTGATAATTCATTCCAGGACACCCAGGGCTACTTAGTGAGACCTTGTCTCAAAAATACAACAAAAATGCCTACAAAGCAAAAAGGTTTGAATTGGAATGGAAGCAGATATTATAGAGTTGACATTTTGCTGATAAATTAAGAAAGCTGGCAGGTTCTTTTTTTGGGGGGGGGGTTGGGTTTTTCAAGACAGGGTTTCTCTGTATTGTTTGGAGGCAGTCCTGGAACTCGCTCTGTAGACCAGGCTAACCTTGCATTCACAGAGATCGGCCTTCCTCTGCCTCCCCAGTGCTGGGATTAAAGGCGTGCACCACCACCACCCAGCTGGCCGGTTCTTTATTACTTTTCTGTTTTAATAATATTTAAGGTGAAAAATGCAAAGCTTAAAAGGTTTTCTTAGGGAATTAAAATAGTCATAAAAAATGGGGCTACTGCTTGTATTTTTTTTGTTTTGGTTTGGCTTGGTTTTTTTTTGTTGTTGTTTTGGTCTGGTTTGTTTTTACGAGACAGGGTTTCTCTGTATTGTTTTGGAGGCTGTCTGTCTAGCCCGGCCTCGAACTCACAGAGATCTGCCTGCCTCTGCCTCCCGAGTGCTGGGATTAAAGGCGTGCGCCACCACTGCCCGGCTGCTTGTATTATTTTTAATGCGTTATAGTTATAAACTTAATAAGATTCAACAGTTTTAGTCCAGACCTGGTCACAAATGCTTTTAATTGCTGTTGTTGGCAGAAACAGAAGGACACACAAGTTCAACAGTTTCAATTCTTAGTGTCATGAAAAGCAGAAACATAATTTTGTATGTATGTCTTTTCCAGCAACAACTGGATGCATTTGAAGCAGAGAAGCAGGCATTGTTGAATGAACGTGGTGCAACACAGGAACAGCTAAATAAGATCAGAGACTCTTATGCAGAGCTGCTGGGTCACCAGAACCTAAAGCAGAAAATCAAGCATGTTGTGAAACTGAAAGATGAAAATAGCCAGCTCAAGTCGGTTTGTAAAATAACACTTGTTCTTTTAGATACACTAAAAACTAAAAAGAATGAACAATTTATAGGGGGGAATTCATTTGAGAATTGATGGAATTATTCAGTTTTACTTAGCTTTATAATTGCTGCTATAGTTGGAAGACTGTATAAAGTTTTACACGTCCATTTCTAGTTACAAAATAGCCATTCCTTTTTGTAAATACCAGGAAGAGACGTTGTTTTCAAAACATTTTTTTTCTTCTACAAGGTCAATTTATATTTTACTTTATGGAATACATCATACAAACTAATGGGCTACACCGTGTAATTTCCATATGTATATAATATGCTTTGCTCATATTCATCCCTCATTAGCCTCCCATGTTCTCTTCTACTCTACTCTTTCCCCATGCATTTTCTTTTCTTTTTTTGGTTTTGTTTTTGTTTTTGTTTCTTGAGACAGGGTTTCTCTGTGTAGCTTTGGAGCCTAGCCTAGACCAGACATCTACAAAGAGATCTTACAGAAATCTGCCTGCCTCTGCCTAGATCTGGGAATTAAAGGCATGGACCACCATCACCCAGTTTCCCCGTGCTCCTTGGTGTTCCTTTTTTCTTTCTTGTTTGTTTTGTTCTGTATTTTTGGTTTGGTTTGGTGTTTTGTTTTGTTTTCAAGATGGTTTCTCTGTGGAACCCTTGCTGTCTTGATTGATTTGTAGTCCAGGCTGGTTCAAATTCAGAGATCCATCTGCCCCTGCTTCCTGAGTGCCAGGATTAAAGGCATGTGCCGCTACCACCCCGAAATCTTCCTCTTTTCTAACAGTGTTCTTTGTTATCTTCTCTAGAATCCACATATAAGTGAAAACATGAGATACTTGTCTTTATAAATATGGCTTATTTCATTTGACATGACAGTCTTCAGTTGCATTCTTTCCTGTATTAACATGGTTCTATTCTCCTTTATACTTAAATAAAATTCTACATATTTTTTTTTCACTTTTTTAAATCTGTTCACTCTCTGCTATGGATAGTGCTGCTATAGACCTGAGCATGTAGATCTCTATTATATGTTTATTTTGCTTCCTCCTGCTGTAAGCTATGTTGCGACTCCAGGCGTTGTGGAACAGAGGCTAGGGACAGGTGGTCTTCTCTTTTGCTGCCACCTCCTACCCTTGGAGTGGTTCTTAGTGACTTTCAGAGAAAGGGGATGAGAAATAGCCTTAGTTTCGTATCTCCTTGGAACCAGTGTTATGAACTAGAGCTAGGGTGATCAGGTGCACAGTGTTTGCAGAACACTGCTGCACAAGTGCAGCTGAGCAAAAGACATCTTGGACCATTAACACATTTGCCAATGGACATCATTTTAGCAGGTAGGAGCTGCTGGCAAAATGAGGTCTTTGGGAGTTGGAGAAGGAAAACCTGTGTTCTTAATTATAGGATTTCTAGTGGGGAGAGAGGATGCTCTTTGTTGGTTTCAAATGTCAGACAAGCATTTGTGGATCTTTCTGAGTAGCTACTTCTTACTTTGTTATTGTGCTTTTAGGAGGGCTATTTCTAGGGGAAGGATGTAATTGGTTGCACAGACTGTTTGTTACCTTGTTAAGCCCAAAGTTGATCAGGGAGTTGGGCAGTGGTGGCGCACATCTTTGATCCCAACACTTGGAAGGCAAAGGCAGCAGATCTCTGTGAGTTCGTGGCCAACCTCATCTAAAGAACAAGTTCCAGAACAGGTTCCAAAGCTACAGAGAAACCCTGTCTCAAAAAACCAAAAAAAAAAGTTGATTTGGTGGCAATTTATTTTCACTCCATTTTTTATCAGAAAAGTATACTCATGACTCTAGAAGGACAAGAAAATTTAAAATGCTTTGTTTATTTTGCATGAGATGTTCCAAATAACTTTGCAATTCAGTCTTATTGAATGTGTAATAGTTATTTTTGCCATTAGCTATGATACATAAGCAACTATTTGCAGTATCTGCAACAATGATAGCATATTTTACTACTATTTTTTAGTGATTATTTTTATTTTTCTTAGGAGGTGTCAAAACTCCGATCTCAGCTTGCTAAAAGGAAACAAAATGAGCTCAGACTTCAGGGAGAATTGAATAAAGCTCTGGGCATCAAACACTTCGACCCTTCCAAGGCTTTTCATCATGAATCTAAAGAGAATTTTGCCCTCAAGACCCCATTAAAAGAAGGTAAAAAAGTAATAATAATAATAAAATGAAATAGTGTATTTATGTACCTGTCTTCGTCCCACCCCATGGCAGTTGGTGATTTAACTTCTTTATAAACTATGGAACCTTGTTGATAATCTAATATAGAAGAAATTCTTTCTGAGATTGATGTATCAGTGCCACTTTCCTCCTTTACTCTGCTTCTATATATCTAGGTCCCCTAGCCCCGTTCACACTACATCTTTAGTCTTTTATTGCTCCTGCTAACATCCCTCCTTCTTTATCTCCCTGTATAGCATTTACCTTGTCAAGGGCCAATTCCTCTCCACACAACTTACAATGTAACCTAAGTGTGTCTTAGATCCATAATAATTGTTTACATTTCAATTTTAGAAAAACAATTTTTTCTTGACAGATCTTTATATATTTCACAAATAAATCCTAACTGCTTGTGTGTGTGTGTGTGTGTGTGTGTGTGTGTGTATTCATATACTACATATATGTGTACTGTATTGTGGTAGAGAATGTAAACATTGCTTCTTCTGTCTTTAAGAGCATAGGCCTGAGCCGGGCGTTGGTGGCGAACGCCTTTAATCCCAGCACTCGGGAGGCAGAGGCAGGCAGATCTCTGTGAGTTCGAGGCCAGCCTGGTCTACAGAGCGAGTTCCAGGACAGCCTCCAAAGCCACAGAGAAACCCTGTCTCGAAAAACCAAAGAAAAAAAAAGAACATAGGCCTGTTTCAGTTTATAATGACTTAGGGATTTGGTTTGGTTTTCAAGTATTTGAATGTAGGCCCTTGAACATGCTAGACAAGTATTATACCTGTGCTACATCTACAGCCTGGATCATAGCTTAGTAGTTTTAATATAAGGTACTTATAGGTTTTTGTGATACTCTTTTCAGGCAACACAAACTGCTGCTGAATTCTGACGGAACATCAAGAATCATGGAAGTATATCTCTGAAATGCATGTTGAAGATTATTTTCTTCATTATTCCTGATATTATGTTCATAGTATATAGTATATATTTAATTTCTACTGACTATTCTTAGGTATATGAAAGGACATTCATCATTTGTTATGAAAATGTCTTTTTGACATTGTATTTTCTATTATGTATCTCTTTAATCTTTACCTTTATCATCTCGTTCTGAGTCGTCTGAATTATTTTGCAGCTTACATTGCATTACCATCAAATCAACATTTTTTTCAAGATCAGTATTAAAAATTTCCCCCCTATTCTGTATTCCCCCAATGTTTTTAGCTTGATTTGAGAGTTCTTTCTATTCTGATGAAGAGTAGAGAGGCTCAAGCACTTTGGCTTGCTCTTGCATCTGCTTTGATTTATTTATCATGCTCACTCTGATCTCCCTGTCTACTTTTCACTTCCAATAGAAATAAGGGCACCCTTAGCTCCACAGTAAACCTGCTGTGGTTTTTTGTTTGTTTGTTTGCTTTTTCAGGGGGGGGTGTTTAAGACAGGGTTTCTCTGTGACTTTGGAGGCTGTCCTGGAACTAGCTCTTGCAAACCAGGCTAGTTTCGAACTCACAGAGATCCGTGTGTGCCATCACCGACCAGCTTTCTTTTGTTTTTTAATGAAAGTCACTGGGTTATTTAATCATTTCCAGATTCCTTGGCTCTACCCCAGTTCTAAACTAAAGCATGTAGCTTGGCCTATAAATCTAGATTTTTAAAAGATTAGCCTGTTAATTTTTAGATATACTGGAAATCTGATTTTGTGTGTGTGTGTGCATGTATGTGCGACACTATTTCTTTGTACAGGTTTGACTGTCCTAGGAACTCCCTATGAAGACTAGTAGACTAGGCTGGCCCTGAACTCAGAGAAGAGATCCATCGGCTTCTGCTTCCCAGTTGTTAGGATTAAAGGCAAGCACTACTATGCCCAGGCTCAAGGAAATCTGAAAAACTGTATATACTATGTTATTAGAGAATTTGTCACTTGTGTATTCTCTGAATGTATATGTAATAATATAAAGTTATTTAGAAACTCATAAAACCCAGGGAATCAGTTTTCATTTAATGAAGTTACAGCATTTTCTGTTTAAGATGTATTTAATTGTGTCTTCCTCCCCTCCTAATTTGTCCCCAGAATCATAAATGATTTCTTATATTTATTTTTTAAGGTTTATTTATGCCATGGTTAATTACATACACCTTTAATCCTCTAGCACTATGGAGGCAGAAGCAGACAATGAGTTCAAGGTTAGCCTGGTCTACGTAGCTAGTCCCAGACCAACCAAGACTATATATTTAATTTTACTTAGGTGTAAACATTGAAAAATGTATGTTAGTCATTCCTTCCCTCTGGTATTCTGTATATGTTTATAGCCTTTAATCATAATAAATATACACAAGAAAAGCAGAATAATGAGGTCTGTTGTGAACTACTGCTTTGATGACACTATCTACAAATTATCATTTGTGAGACTGAGGATAGAGCTCAGGGATTAAGAGTGCTTACAGCACAATCATGAGGACCAGAGTTTGAGTTTTAGTACCTATGTTACAAGCCAGGTGTCTGGTGCATGCCTGACAGCTCAGGCCCGAGACAGGTGGACCCAGGAAAATCACTAGGACTCATTGGCTCCTGACCTAGTCACAAAGGCAGCAAGCCCCAAGTTCATCGAGAGAGAACACTAATTCATAGGGTTTATTTAGGTCAAGCACATGTGGGTTTATGCAGTCATACTGTTTTGATTGTTCTTTGGCTTTGCTATCCTTTGTGAAAACCAGGTCTTCCCTGGGGCCCTGATCTGTTATTCTCATTGCATTTAAGTTTCCAGGTTCAATGGCTACAGCTCTAAGTATGAGGTCTGGCCTCCAGAGAAGATTGGAACTCTGAAAAGGATTCTGGGATAGTATTATGATTTGGATCTTAAAGTGGCAGTTCTCTCAAAGGACCTGTGCTGAAGTGTGTGGTGTGGACGGGAGGTGGAATCCTTTGAAGCTGGTCTCCTGGAAAGAAATGAGAGCCCTGGGGACATACTGTTTGTGGTGGTTTGAATGAGCCCTGTGATCTAACTACTTGAATACTTAATCAACAGTTGGTGACACTGTTAAGGAGGGATTAAGAGGAGTGACTTTGACAGATCTTTGTCACTGAGGGTGGTCTTTAAGGTTTCCAAACTCCATGCAATTCCCAGTATTCCAAGAGTCTCCTGGCTGGCCGATGAAATAAAGCTGAGTAGCTTGCTTACATATATAGGTAGAAGAAGGGAAATTCATGCCAACTAAGGCACAGTTCCTTGTATACTGTTGTGATTGATTGCTGCCTCCATGTTGAAGCTTAAACCAGCAAAAGGCTTCTCTTGAATGGCATCTCCTCGCTGCTTTTAAACATCAGTAGAATGGATTGAGCTGGTAATAGAAAAGAAGATGATGACAAAAGACGGTGGCAATAGCATTGGGACAGCAGCAAAGAATCAGAAAACAGGCAAGATAGAAAGGACAGATCATAAGTGATGAGAAAGCTGGGCGGTGGTGGCCCACGCCTTTAATCCCAGCACTCGGGAGGCAGAGGCAGGCGGATCTCTGTGAGTTCGAGGCCAGGCTGGACCGACAGCCTCCAAAACAATACAGAGAAACCCTGTCTCGTAAAACCAAAAAAAAAAAAAAAAAAGTGATGAGAAAAAGTTCCTAAGGAACTGAGAAATCTAGAAGACTTGAGTTCAATTCCCTGCCACCTGCACTGTCTAGCTCAGTTCCAGGGGCTCCCATTACCCCATCTCAATTCATAGGCACTGCACCCCATGGTTTCAACATTTGTATTCCCACTGCAAATGTTTTTTTTTTTTTTTTTCTTTTTCTGGTTTTTCGAGACACTGTTTCTCTGTAGTTTTTGGAGCCTGTCCTGGAACTCACTCTGTAGACTAGACTGAACTCTTCTCACAGAGATCCTTGTGCCTCTGCCTCCCTAGTACCCTTAGTACTTGGATTAAAAGTATGTGCCACCACAGCCAGGCCGGTGAGCATTCTTCAAAATGCTTGCAAGTGAAGGAGTTAATGAGCCCCATTAATATATTCACTATTTTGAGTTGAAGACTCAAAACAGTTCTGTGGCTGGGGCAGTCCGTGCGGCCACTGGCAGTGGACAACCATCTATCCCTAGCTCATGAACTGACTTGGAGCCCATTCCCTATGGTGGGATACCTTGTTCAACCTTGAAATAAGGGGAGAGGCTTGGTCCTGCCTCAGCTAGATATGCCAGACCTTGTTGACTCCCTACAGGAGTGGGTGGGAGGAGAAGGAGGGGCAACTGTGATTGATTTATTAAATGAAGAAACAACTTCTAAATACATCTTAAAAATTAAAAGGAAAAAAAAAGAAACAAGTGCAAAAAAATGACTGATCTTTGTTTCTCCGAAGGTAGGAGATGAAGTTGCTATGGATGTACTGCCTTTGCTAGAAACAAAGCCGCCCTCTTATTACCGTGAATGGGGAGTTGAACCCAAGAGAGTTATGCAAGCCTTACTAAAATACTCCCAGCTGCCAATCTCACCATGTAATTTTTTTGGGGGCTGGTCTAATTCAGAACTCTTGGATCCTTATTGCTTGGGTCTTTATTGCCTTATTTGGGCACATATGACATGTAAAACATGTTTTTAATCAGTTGATTTGTCATGACAATTTAATTCTCAGAGCTAGATGAAAAACATTAAGGAGACAGGTGAACATTGCTTTTTAGCATTTAAAATTTGTAAAATCTGTTCAACTTTACCAATCAATGTAGGTGTGCAGTGATAACTCAGTGTGTTTTTAATATGCATATCCCCATTGTCAATATGTTACTGTTTATTGACCATTCCTGTGTTTTCCTTTGATATGTCTGGTAACATTTTTGCCATTTAAAAAATTGGGGCCTGGAGAGATGGTTCAGCAGTTAGGAGCACTGCCTGCTCTTTCAGAGGACCACAGTTCAATTCCCAGCACCCACATGACAGCTAACTATTGTCTATAACTCCAAGATCTGAAACCTTCATACAGATACACATGCAGACAAAACACCAATGCCCATAAAAATAAATGATAAAAAATTGCTTTGTCAAATTATTGTTACAGTTCTTTAAATATTCTAAATATATCCTTTTCAGGTACATGTATTGAAATAATTTCCCAGTCTGTAGTTTTATTTGAATTTATTAATACTCTTGTTTTTGTTTTGTTTTTTGAGACAGGGTTTTTCTGTGTAGCCCTAGCTGTCCTGGAAGTAGCCCCTGCCCAGCTTAATACTCCCTTTTACTAAGCAAGAGTGTTTTACCTTGAGGAATTTCAAGTTATCGGTTTTTTAAAAATTGGGTGGTTTTAATTTCACTGTTGTATATGAAATACTTGAAGATATCACCCTATATTTTCTTCCATGATACTGTAGCTTCTGCATTTTGACAGGACTAATCTTTAAGATCTATTTTTAAATGCAACACCTCCCACTCCTCCACCCTCCCTGATTTCTTGACTGTTTGTGGATCCTCTGTGAATGCCTCCTCCAGTTTGCCACGTGCCATATGCCCTCTGGGTAGACTGTAAAGCTGAGTGATACTTTAAAGCTCAATTCAATACCGGCTTCTGTTAGTTTGAAAGTTAAAATAGTACAACGCCCTCAAACAGCGTCTCAAAGCTGAAGCAAGCTTAAATCACCCTTGAAACTTAAAAATAGCAGTGCTTCACTCCTAGAAAATGGTTCTACACAGTTGACAATGTTAGGGACAGGTCTGGGAAGCACTGATGAGCAGTATTTAATGCTTGGCTAAATATAAACAACACAGTCAGTGGAAATGACCAGGTTCACTCTACATTTGTGTGTTGCTGTCTCTAGGGTTTTAAACTTGCCCTTTGAGATCGTTAAATAATTTTTTTAAAAATAAAACAATGGGATGGGGCAGGAGAGATGGCTCAGTGGTTAAGAGCATTTGTTTTTTTCCCTAGGATCTGGGTTCAATTCCTAGCACCCACATAATGACTCACAACTATCTATAACTCCAGTTCCAGGGAACGCAAGGGTACACATGGTGCACATGCCTGCATGCTAACAAAATACTCATACACACGCAATTTTTTTTTTTTTTTGCAAAGCACAGGGGAATTTTACTGACGGTTCTGTTACTGTTAACTGTGAAACGGGGAATATTTCACAACAGGAATCAATTGCACAGTGTGCTTCCCAACCGTTGGCCCGTTCCCTGTACAAGAGACACTAAAAAGTTCTACCGGGGAAATTGCCGAGTTTTTTATTGTTTTGTTTTAATAGTTCTGCCATATGGATTTTGGTAATGGATCCTCTCTTGACTTTGCAATTTAGCATGAAACTTCTCATTGGGTAGTTTCAAAACTAGTAGGAGGAATCAGCTGCCAGTTTACTGCACTGTGGAAAGCTGCACGGGATTCCAGGATTGGAATGGAAATGCTAATTTAAAAGGTCAAGCTGAGCTGCGCCTCACGTTTTTGGCGTCCGTGTGCTCGGTACGGGCGGAGCAAACAAAGACCCGGGCAGAGAAGCCAGACGCCCGGATTCCGCTCGCTGCTCTTTCCCCAAAATAGTTCTGGAATCATGCCTGAAATGCCGGAGGACATGGAACAGGTAAGAGCTTGCAATTCAAGACATAGTATCGACTCGGCGTATTCAGAACGACTGGTAAGAGCAGGATGGCTGTAGAGAAAATACTAGCCGGTGCCATTTATTTCCTTAAGAAACATAAGGTTGAGACACAGAATAAACTATCTTGGGTTTCCGACCCAGGAAATCCAAGTCGGTTTGGCAGAAATAAAATGTGAAGCAGAACGACAGTTTCATTCTCCACAACGGTGGTTGAAGGTTCTGTGTAGTATAAGATTTAACCCGGCTTTTGTCTTGTAGGGCTTGAATCTGCTAATTGGACTTAAAGTTACAGTTTGCACTCCTTTAAAACGTGAACCCCGTCGGAAGTCGGACACCGACTGTACACACAGAATCTTTTGTTATTATCAAACTGGCTAAAAATTGCACTTAAATATGTGCCCCTAGAGCTATGCTCAACTTTTGCCGGACAAGTGTCAAGCCGTGTTCTTAAGATGTAGGCAAGCAAACATTTCCTCACTCACAAGGTTGCTCTGAGAACCAAACTGCTACTTGCAGAAATCCTTGAATCTTCCTATTGAGTACATTTTATAATCCTCTCTAGGAAGAGACGCCTTCATACATTTCAACTAGCAACTTGAAACATTCTCACTTTGAAGGACGATGAGGGATGTTGGATCTTTCTTCTCAGACTTTTTCTTTCTAATTATTCTTGTAATTTAGTACTGGGTCGTCCTTTCTTTTAGTAACCTTAAGGCCTGGATTAGGGGGAAAAAATTGACAGGCCTCCCGCTGCCTTTGTTTTCTCTTCC